CATACCTTCGCATCGTGACAGCTTCCTGGGTAACCAGTAAACACGTCCAGGAAACGGAATTTATTGTCGCATATGGCCTTTAAGATTAAATTTCCATGAAAATGATATAAATCCGTATATTTGTTGCAAAAAGCTTACTTGCATTATTATGGAATGGGTTCCTTTCCGATTGTAATAACTTATAGCATCCGTGTTTGGGGTCGGTATTTTGAAGTGAGTGCCATCTAGACATCCAATTACAAAGGGGAAGAGATTATTTCTGGTGTTCTGAATACTTTCCAGTATTCCACACTGAGTTTCAGCGGAAGGCCACTTAATTTCATGCTTTAACCCACGACAAATAGTGGCTTGTGCGCTGTTGCTTTAGATATATTAAAGCGGTCGCTTAATTGCCGGAACGTTAGATTAGTATTAACCAACCTTCACAAGGTCACATACAGGCACTTCTGCAAAGAATATCCCATACGCCCGCGCAGATTAGTACTCCAGAATGGTTAAAGGGTCGTTTTCAATGCCTGTGTAGAAACTTATGAATTATTGTACACGTAAGTATGCTTCTAAGTACCTTAAAAGTGTCACGTGACATTCGGAAATGGCCAAAAAAGACGTCGTCGGGATAATTCTGTATAGTTTTGAAGTCGTTTGCAACTTTTGGTATCAAGCGTTTCGCTTTAAAGCTGTTCGCTATCAATATATTCCTTAGTTTTACACGGTTCATTCTCCTTTTGAGCTTATTTGAGAGAAAGCGATCATTTTCGTTCTCTAATTTGTCAATAAGTATATTAATTAAGAATATTTCACTCATTTTTTTTGTTTGTAAATGCAAATTTTCTAATGCGCAGTGACTACACAGTTTTAAACAACAGCATCAGCCGGCATAATGTAAGCTGTGCAAATTGCGCAGAGTTGCCAGTATTTACTGCATTACCTCCAATAAAAGTTGTTTGCTTTCATAGTCATAAACCACAAAAGTGCACATTAGGTCAAATGATTACTTTTTCTGTGCGAAATTAATAGAAGCTTAAATATCGCATTATTTTAATGTAAAAAGATGGCAAACGTTGAAACAAGTGTAAAGGCAGTAAATAAAATGTTAAACAGACTTGGCTTTCATAAAACAGACTTTTCTGCTTTTTTGTATGTGGAAATGATGAGTATATGTGTTTAGGTAGTACTCAAAAACATTGTCCAATTAGCTTGGTTTTAACACAAGTTATTTTCTTACCATACTCAACTCCCTCGCCTTTAAAATGAGCTACATAATAAAATAAGTATGGTCATATATACATAAATGGTTTCTTCTAGCGATTAGTTATAGCATTATCGAAATTCCTAAATTAAAAAAAGAAAAATATTTACTACATGTCTCGCAGATATGTCTTCAGGAGAGATTCCTAAAGCAGTTAGTCTTCATAAAACACTTCATTTTCACTTGAGGCTTCAGTATTTCCAAATTCTCCACCGATATTATTTATATTCAGAACACAAATGCTGCTTTGTGACACATTTACCAAAAATCGCTGGTAACTTCCTGAAAAGAATACGAATGTTTATGAAACTAATTTGTTAAAAGAATGTTCAAAGCTCTATTCACTTTGATAAAAAAAATTCGAAATTTGCTGCTCATCAATGGTCTTTGCGAATCGGCGCTAGTGTATTTATAACATAGCCTCGGCTACGCAACAGGAGATGAAATGTAATCCAAATTGAGGCCGCTATTTTTTTTTTTGCTATCACATACTTCCATTTTCACTATTTATCACCATTAAAATAGATTATTTATCACCAAAAAATTTTGGAGATATTTTTGGAGATAGCTAAAAATGCGGAAGAAGGTTAGCTATCCTATTTTAGCACTTTAGCGATAGCGAAAGTTAGAATCCGGCTAATCGTCGACACAGTTGGCTTTTTGATTTCGAAAGAACCTCATCAGCAAGAAACACTATGTTTTCAGATATAAATATTTTAGCATTCTATCCAAATTGTTTCCCATAATTTTCATATTAATTTGATAAATAATTACGCGTTTTTTCTTCTAAGAGTTTCATGGAACTTTCGCAAATATCAGCAGCACCAAATTTTTTTTCAACATGGTTGACAACCGAAAAAGGATTTTCTTTTTTCGAACATCCAATCAGCCAAACTTCAAACAACTTGCCTTTTGTGATAGCCTGATAGCCCACAAAAACCGTTTTTCTTGAAAACGGCTAAAAACGGCAAGTTAAGTAAAATAAATTGAACTCATTACATCTTAATTTATCCATTTCCGATTCCATTTTGTTTGCCGAAAGTTAACAAAATTGTAAAAGCTTACATAAAATCATAAATGGAAATAAATCAGAAAATTTTTGAGGTTATGCAAATAAGTCAGTTTTTTGCAGACAAATGATAACAAGTCACTTTTTTAAATTGGGACATAGGTTCTCACTTAAATATAGTTTTGTTTCCCATTTAAAATTTTCCTTTAGTTATTCGAACTTTACAAAAACAATGCACTTAAAATTTACAAAATAAACCGGTTGCGCAAACAACGTATCAATAACGTTTTGAAAATGTAACTTTGGTTTATTGCTGTATAACGGTGTTTTTTATTTTACAAAAACTAAGTGAAGTTTCTGTTATTTTGGAGTATTCCCTACAGAATGGCAACAAAAAATAATAATGTATCATTTGACCTAATGTGAAGTGGTTTGGTTACATTTCATTCTTATTACTACGTTACCAGATGTGTTTCTTATGCTAAATAACGACAGGTGTCGCGATATAATTTTAAGGTGCTATCCAACCAACTAAGGAGCGCTCAACTCTACAACTCCCCCGCAAGTTGGAAATAGCACGAAATCTCTTTTTTTTTTTAACTACAGTAATTACAAAAATATTATTTAAAAACTTCATTATATACAACCATATCGTATTATTCATGCTTTACTCTTTATAATTAATTCTTTGTAATTTACGTAAACTTCGAGTTTCGTTTGGTTATGCGTAATCAAGAGCTTCTCCGACCCCGCCCACCGGGAATGGTTTGCCTCTGGGGCAGTGTTGCCACAGACAAATTTTTTTTCCTACCAAAATTTCCTACCACAACCAACTGAAACCTACCAAACATTTTTTTGAGCCTTTAATATATATTTTTTTTCAATGCTAAATTTATTAAAAACATACATAACAACATTTAGTAAAACTTAAACACAGCTAGTACAATAAAAACAAATTAACAGCGTATAACAATTCATTTTACTATACAGACATATCTACATGTATCATTCATATATATCGTCACTGGATACGTATAAAAACGCGAGCTCAAAAGTTGACGGCGAAAAAGACGCGTAAAAAAAAATGTCGGCAAAGAAAGACGCATAAACTTATTTTTGCGGTCAAGTATGTTTGCGAGCGTCCGGAATGATGTTGAATCCATCTTTCTTCGCCGAAATTCTTTCAAGCGGATTTTTTGGTAAAATTTTTTCACACGTCCTTTTTCGCTATCAAAACACCCGAGCGTCTTCATTCGTGTCTAGTGACGATATTATTATTATTCTTATTAAGTCGGAGATACTCGCGCTCCTACCTAAGAAGATATATTGTGCTAAATCCTAACTGTAATCACTCCAGCGATAGGCTATTTAAAAAGCTCAGTACTTTGGATTATGCCATGTTCCAAATTTTAGATGCAGAAGACAATCGTTAGCCAAGGTATATCAAACTACGATTCATGCTTCGGCACACAGAATATCCCTGGGGTTTCCTTCACCAGCCCATAAAACCTACAGTCCGTCTCTACAGAACGACCCATTTAATTCAAATGGTACGTTAACTTGCAGTGTGCTGTCAGTTAGCAAGTAAGAGTTCTAAGTTCAAAGTGTCTTTCGGAGTTCCTCCTGGAAGGAGCTTCATGTCCCGGTATCCACCACAGCATTATGCTATGGTTGGCTCCCACGTGGTTCAAGAGTTCACAAGCCGTGATGACGTTTTAAAAGAGTCTAGGGCCTTTAACGCTGTATGAATATCGGAAATAATATTTATTGGTAGACTTTTCTGGAATCTTAATCCAAGTACGCCTTAAATTATATATGGATGTTCATATTGTATATTTGAAATAATAAGGATATACGTTTATAAACAATTATATATCTTTAGAAAGGTATTTTGATGCTGAAGTGCAGTCAATTTTTTAAATTTCAAATTAGTTTAACATAAAGCGAAAAAATCAATTCAAAAGTGACACCAATACTATTGCTGGACATGTACATGGTTGGGGCGGAAATTCCTCATAAATGTCTGCTTTAATATTGATACTGAATTACATAAACGTGCTAAGAAGCAGTTTAGTAATAAGATGTACCTATGTACATGAATAGATTAGGAACAAGGAAGAAGGTTAAGTTGAGAATGTAGAAGAAGAAAGCGATAAAGGCAGAAATTAAAGTAACGAAACCTAAATATAAAGACCAAGAGGAAGGAATATTTAAATAACCTAATAACAATGGTGGGGGTGAATATGTAAATGAAGAAAAGAATGGAGATATATATCAGGATAAAGGAGAAGATACAGATGAAGAAGAAGATGGAGATGTTTCTTTTTGTTGCGTAAGTTGTCGTTTTTGATTTAAAACTGCACTATGGGCCAGCATGCGATCAAAACTGGCCAAAATTCAAAAGCTTATCGGATTGGCTTGAAGCTTGTCACTCAGGGGTTTTGGGTCGCTGATTACGAATCTGGAGTCAGATTAAACAAAATCAAAATGGCGCATCAAATATCGCTGACCAAATTTTTTAAAATCGGTAGAATTAGCTTTTTACGTGCTACTATGGTGTTGCTAGGGTCTTTGGTTAAGGATCTGACATTAAAGTTTATAAATTCAAAATGGATGATCTAATATAGCAGCCGCTATTTGAAAATCGATCGGATTAGC